CCAGCAGTATCCTAGAGGGATGGAGTGGGACAGAATAGAACAGCCTGTCTTGACCTCACCTTGTGGGTCTTGCTCCTCCCCCAGATTAAAGACCTGCGTGTCTGTGACTGAGATGTAGAGTGGAGAGAAGGACTTAGCCTCTACACTCACTGGCCTTTTTGAACAAGCCAGAGTCATTCAAGGGTCAGCTCTGTGGGGCTAGCAGACTTCAGAGGTGTGGGAGGAAAGGGAAAGTGTTATCTTCATCCTGCTTTAAAAAAAACAAAAAAACAAAAAAACAAAAAAAAACCCTCCAACATCTGCTGGAGAGCCGATTCCATGTGCGGCCCAACTAGAGGCAGAATTTTAATGGGCTGCAGGCGGCTCATTCCTTCCTGTGCTCCGTGCAGCTGTGGAACAGCTGTGGAATCTCAGTTCAGGGGTAGATGATGCGTTCTCAGTGCCGCTAATGTCGTTCCTAGTGGGGAAGGTGGGAAGAAAAAAGTGGAGGAATGCTGGTCCCGGTGGTGTGTGCCTGTGATCCCAGCACTAGGGGAGGCAGAGGCAGGAAGATCTTGAGGTCAAGGTCAGTCTAGACTACACTTTGAGAACCTGTCTCCAAAACAGAACAAAAACTGGAAAGCTGAGCTACACTCAAGTGCGTTTAATGTTTGTACTTTATATGAATATTTCTAATTCTCCCCACGCTCCAAATAAAGAATTAAATAAAGTAACCAATGTTGTAGCTACTAACTGGGATTCAAACCCAAGTGTTTCTGATTCTCCTTGCTTATCTGATCGGGTGAGTACAAATACCCTGGTATTATCTATTCCTGATGAACACTTGAAGAATGATGATAGTATCCTATGTGGACCAGCAAGTACCCTAGTCTGTGACCTCACACCAATGCTGACATTCAGTGGAATCCACCTCTCTCTCCTTGAACTCTGACATTTGGCTTGATCAAATGTGTCAGAGGTAATATTGGGGTTCTCATCCAGGCCTTATGCTTTCCACCTTTTGATTAGCCAGCCACCCTGCTGTAGATTTGGATCATTGAAGAGGAGAGAGCACAAAATTGTTCTGAACCATCCAGCCCAAGCCAGCTGCTAAAACGTAGTCAAGTAGGTAATCCTTGCTAACAATAGGGGAAGAGCCACTGCACTGAGTGAGCCCAGTCACTCCACAGAACCATGAAATGTCATTGTCTGAAGTCAACTTCAAGGATGGTTTTTACACAGCAGGAAATCACATAAATATGGAAGAGAAAGGTTCAGCATGGCACCGATGCCATTTCAGTGCTGTGACAACTCTCTCCAGCTGCTTCTCCACACACTGTGATCCATCTTTACCACCATGCTTGTCTGCAGCCAAATGAAGAGCCCCTGTATCTGCCTGAAGCCCGAGAAGCTGGAGGCGCCATATGTTGGCATCATAAAACATGGATAAATCAAACAGTTACTGACCTGAAAGCTTCATCCTTCCAAGCTAGCTTTCACGGAGCTGTAAGGTGCTATGCGTGCTATCAGGGGAGAAAAGCAATCCATAGTGTTTCTTAGCCAGATATGAACCTTATCAGCTATAATAAGTACTGTCAAAAATAGGTCCTCTAATACACCAGTGGCATGAATATTAGAGGAGTAACCAACCACTTTCTGATTGGATGTAAAACCAACTCCATGATTAGAAACCCAGACCTGGCACTGTTATTGGGACCAAGGACCTGTTGTTAGATAGAAAAATATGCCCTATGGAAGAATCTACTGACATTATTCTGCTTTAAGGCCATAGTATTAAAATAACTCCTAATGTGTTATTGTGATATTCATAGATTAGTCCATCTTTCAGACTAAATCAGAGAAACTTCTGCAGCTAACACAGAGATCCACAGCTTGTCAATATGCAGAGAATAAAAGACTTCTGCATGCTCAGCCCTAAATGGGACATCCATAGCACACTCCCCTTCCCAACTCTCTACCCTAAGGCTCAGAGAATATTGTGGAAGAGAGGGTAGAAGGATTTCAGGAGCCGAGCAGATAGATTACTATAAGAGAACAGTGTCTTCTGGATACAACAGGGCAGAGGCATATATGAACTCAAAGTTATTGCGACAGCACACATGAGACATGCATGAGCTCATATCAGACAAAACCCCAATAAGTGGGGTGGAACACAGAGTCCCACTCCCAACCGAGAAACTATTGGCATTTGATAGCTGCTGGGAGGGAGTCTGTTTTCTTTAAGGGTGATCTGGGGTGAACTATGATCCAGGACAAGCCCCACACCCAAGAATAATTGGGCAACACACTGAACTCAATAGGTCAGAGAGAGAGAGAGAGAGAGAGAGAGAGAGAGAGAGAGAGAGAGAGAACACATGAAGTTGGTTGGGTGGTGTGGGGAGAGGTGTGGATCTAAGAGGAGTTGGGGGATGGGGAAGAAAATGATCAAAAAACATTATATAAAGTTTCAAAGAGTTAATAAAGATATTGTTGTCAACTATCAAATAAGCAAAAGAAGAAAAGTACATATTTTTGTTTGTTTGTATTTATTTATTTTTTGAGGCAGGGTCTTGTGTAGTTCAGACCAGCCTCCAATTTACTGTTTAGCTGAAGATAACCTTGCACTTAGGATCCTCGTGCCTCTACATGCCAGGTGCTGGGATTACAGGTCCGCACCTTGATGCCTAGTTTATATGATGCTGGGAACCAAACCCAGAGCTTTATGAATGCTATGAAAATACTCTGAATACAACTGAATTGCAGCCCTGGGAGTTGTGGAGGGAGGGGAGAAGAAGAAAAGAAAGGAGAAGAGTCTAAAGGGACTGTCTGTTCGTGATCCCAGCTATAAGATACGTAGCTGAAAACAAACAGACTCCTCCAGCAGCCTGGTAGGGGAGGGAAAGAATCTGCTGCTCTGTAAAGCAAGGCAACTTGAAGAAAGGGATCAGCACCCCAATAGAGACATAAGCAAAACATACAAAGAGGAGAATACCAATGTGTACACCCGGATCATTAGCAAACCCAGGAAAAGATGCTCATAGCCACCAGCAGTCATAAAGGAACACAAACTAAGTAATAATAAGCCTTTGCTTATTGGTTAAAAATACCTGGTACTAGTGAGGCTCTGGGGAAAGGGATAACCCTCATAAGTTACTATGGAAACATGGATTGTTATTCCTGCAGACACTCAATATTGCAACATCTATTAAAAACATGCTGAATGAGGCTGGAGAGATGGATTAGGAGTTAAGAATGATGCTCTTGCAAGGGACACGAGTTTGGTTCCTAGCACCCAGGTCAGGTCAGGCTGCTTACAATTGTCCACAACTCTAGTCTACATGACCTCTCACCTCTACCCCAGATCTGTGGTCTTTCCTAGCTTCATGGACCCTTCTCTGAGATACATAGTTCCCCATGCCTTGTCAACCCTCTTCTCAGCTCCAGGGACTCAATGCTCTCCATGGGCACCTACCCACAGACACATAACCACACAGATGAATATACATAATTAAAAATAAAAGTAAGTCTTTAAAAGTCATACTACATAAGTGAAGGCATGTGTTCAAGGATGTTTAGAACAAAGGAACAATTGGATAAACTGTCAGTCTCTACTACGAACACAACTAAGAATTACAACTACTATAATCAAATATACAAAGAATTGCAACTCTTTGTAGGAATAAATTAATCACAACTACTTTGGAGGAGTTATCTGCACGATATCAGTGACAAAGCACATTGCATTGAAATGTGTATACAATGCAATCCTGCATTTAAAAAATAATGACAAAACCTATGCATGCATACATGTTGATGTGTGCTTATATGTGTACATGTCCTCCTATGTCAACACAAGTGCATGCACAAAAACATGTAGGGAAGAGGAGAAATGTTATTATCTGGGGAGAAGAAAAAGGTGATTGTAGGTCATGTATGGGGGTAGCCAAAATAAGGGGGAAGCAGAACACTAAAGAATAATACATGGTGGTATCAAGTCGTTTGTACATTTGTGTAAATGTATATGAAGTTTTAAATATTCACATGTGTAGGAGAAAATAATATTGAAGCAAAATCATAAACTATAACAAGTAATGGTTTCTATTTCATCCCTACAGAGGGATTCTACCATTTAAAAAACTGTTCCTTTGCTCTCCAGTTAACTCCAGCACTGCCCTGAATGAGAATTGAATCTCCAAGATTGACATATGTCCAGATACCACCAGAAGCTCATAGTACTGCTGACCCTTGGGCCTCTGAACCTTCACATGTAGAAAGGCCATGGGGCTACTTCTAGGAAGGCTCTAGACCGGCCACAAGCAGCCACCTGCCTCTGTTATCCCTTCCTGGGCAGACTCCAGTCTACAGTGGCCGACCACCACTACCCCACATCTACTCTCCTTTCTTGCCTTACAGACCCTCTTCTCTGAAACATGTAAGCCTTGTCATCTCTCTTCTCAGGCCTTCAACACACAAGCCAAGTAACCAGAGAGAAAAGCCAAACCCAGGGGACAGAACTTTCTAGCAATCTCCAACCAATAAACCCTACCTTTCCATACCTCCCACCCCTGCAGAAAAACAGCTTCCCATTCCCCCATCCCAGCAAGACAACTTTCCATGTCCCCTGCATGAAGCAAGACATCTTTCCATACCCAATCTCCCACACACAGCAAGTCCCCCCACTCACCCACCCCTCACTCCACAAAAGGAAACATTTGCCTATCCCCATTGCTGTCCGTGTGCATGCCCAGCCCAGCTGTTGACAAAGGAGGTTCCAGAAGACACCCAAAGCTGGGGGCTGGGGCATGGTGATACCAACTAATGGGTACAGAGTCTCCTTCGGGAGTGATGCTAAAGGTATGCACAAGATGGAAAAGGTCACGCCACATTGTTCATGCACCTGACACCACTACACACTACACTTTGAAATGGTTAAAGGGTTTAGGTTATTTATCAAAATTTGCCACAATTTTAAAGAAAAATAAAAGATCCTCAGAGGCCTGATGTGGCCTCACAGACATTACCCTTTCTTGGCACCTGGATGCTGGTATTAGAAGCTGTATCGTTTGGCCACATTACAGATGTCTCCTCAAGGCCACCTGAAAGAAGACAAGAAAAGAGGTAAAGACACACCTTTCAGTAGCATCAAAGGAGCAAACCTGGCCATTGGGTGACCACCAGGGCAGCAAGGATTTGGTCAACTAAAGTTTATTGTGTCCATAAATGCCTTTTTATTTTAATAACAACTCATAAACTAGCAAAACTACCATCCTCCTTGGTCAGCCAGGGATGCCCAGAATGGAATTAATAGAGTTTGTGGGGAGTCCCAGGTCAGCTCCTCATCCACCTAGAGAAGACAGAATGGATGCACAAGGAAGTTCTGGAGTCAGGTCCATTCGAGTGATGTCCAGCATGGCTGCCGAACTTCCGCTAGAGCTCCCTCACTGAGATGCTGCTGTTCTGGGCTTTCTCTTTTCCTTCTATTTTCCCCATATGAAGAATCAAGTTTAGAAAACTGCTGAGTTTGGTTTATAAACAGGACTCTGCAGACACGGTAGAGCAAGGGCAGCAAGGATTAAACGTGAAGGGTGGGGGGCAGCCATGTCTAGACATGTTGTCAGCACTTATCTCACTCAAAAGATGTCAATCTCCAAAGACAAACTGTCCTACTATGTGCTGGGTCCAATCCCAGGACTACAGATTCAACCACAGACAAGGCAGTGTTTCTGTCTCAACGCTAGCACTCTCTAAATGCAGAGCTGGATATAAGAGCAGAGAAGCTAACTGCAAGTTCTGAAGATTAAATTTAGCATGGGCTGACAGGAGGGTCGGGGCTTCTGTGGGAGAGTAAGAAGAGTCATCAGTGGGTGCTGGGTAGGGTACCAGGGAGCAGATCTGTGCCCAGGGGATACAGTGACCGTGAAACCATATCAAAGCCTCCAAAGAAGAATTTATTGACAAACAAGAAGGCGTTTCTTTGCATAGGTTGAGAAACCTGAAGCTTATGAAGCAACCTTCCCTAATCTCCCTGCCCCCATTAGAACACTCTGGGCTAGGTAGTGCACAACCCCATCTTGGAGAAGCCAAGGCCGAGGAGAATGCTAATGAGCCCAGGGTGGCCTGGCTCAGAACATGGTCTCCTGGTTAAAGATCCAAGACCTACCCTGAGCCATCAGTGCCTGAGGAAGGCTTACATTGGCACCGCACTTGTCCAATGAGTAACCTGTGTCCAAGTCCACACCAGTAGAGGCAGCATGTGGCCATTCACCAGCTCCTGAGTGGCAGTCTGCCTATCCACCGCTGTGACTCAGGCAAGGCCTGCAGCTGCCCTGGCCTCCTGTAGAGAAAGGACCCCCAGCACCAGGCAGAGACAGGAGACTCCCTGCATCCTGCCTGGCTGGCCAGCTAGGAATGCGCTCACACGACTCCTGCAGCTGCTGGGGTCTGCGCTGCCAGCTCTCGGCCCTTGGGTATTCCAGTTGCGATATCATTTCCTCTTAGGCTAAAGGTCAGGGGAAATCCTGACGGTATGAAGTCGTTCCTCAGCACAGGAATGTGCCATCTGCAGAGAGAGGGGTGGGTCCCCGCCAGGCGAGTCCAGCTCAGCCTCCGCCCCGCAGGCTGCGCAACTGCTGCCGAGAACCTGGGCGTTAGCATCTTTGGTCTGTCAAATGGGCTGCTGCGGGGACCAGATGAGGTAATGGGTTTGTTTAGATGTGTGTTCATTCAGAAAATATGCATCCGACACCTGCTATGTGCCAGATTCTGTTACTACTGCTGGGGAGTGACCTCAGGAAATTATATTCTGATGGAGGGAGGGGAAAGGGGGACAAATAAAAGTTAAGTACTTAAGTTGGCTGCTGGTAAGTGCGAAGGAAAAAAAAAGGGAGATTCTAGAGTGCCACTTCATGTAGAAAAGAAGAACAGAAGTCTGAAGAGAGACTTCTATAGAAAAAAAGTCTATAGATATCTGGTAAAGAGCATTCCAAACTGAGGAATGGCAGGTGCAAAGGCCCTACGGTGGGAAGATGCCCAGCAGCAGGGAGCTGGGGGTGCCAGGAATGGAAGGAAAAGAGAGAGAATGGCAGTGAGCCTGTCAGCCATCAACTGCAAGACCAGCCAGTGTGGGGCCCTGCAGGCAGGCATTTCTGGACTTCATCTTGGAGCATCCTAGATCAGATTCAGGCATTTAACCGCATCCACCTTTTGCATAACCAGAGTTGTTAACACTGGACAAGAGAGAGGCATGGGAGCTGAGATTTAGAATAAGTGTCTACAAGCCGTGGGGGTCCAGTGTAGATATCAGCCAGTTTCATCCTATTCCACTTCCCAAAATGAAGCAGGGGAGGGAGCAGGGAGAAAGTTCTGTACATGATATCTGGACACAGCCCTGGTTCAAGATGAGCTGGAGCTTCTAATGGAGGCACCTAGGGCAGTGACAGAGGCTGGGGCTGTGGGGAAGGCTGTGGCTGTGATGGAGGGAGCCAGGTGCCCCTGGGTTCTACAGCAGGCAGAAGATGCAGGCAGGGTTCTCCGGTTCCTTTGACTCTCTGGTGCTGGGAGCTAGAACAGGTGAAAAGCTTTGGAGATGGGACAGACACAAGTAAGTATGACTGAAAGAATCTTTTAACTAAAGTGCCAAGGTGTTAGCCACAAGCTAAGAATGCACGGGGGTTCCAGCCTCATAGACACCCAAGGAAGGACCAGGGAACACACACCAAGAGGTAACTGCCTTGAGGGCACCGTGGTGTCAGTCACAGAAAGTCCTTGTGCCCCTCAGACTCCCCATCAGAGCAAGAACAGCTTACTCTGTTGCCTACACTCAGAGGTATAGGCAACTCCACAGAGCCCAGAGCCTTGTCCTGACAATCTGTGAGAGGATGCCTGACATTAGCTGACAGAGCTGTGGCAGTTAAGAACACAAATACCAGCTTTGAATGGAAGCACATGTCTGTCATCCCAGCCTAGGGACAGAGGATCAGGAGTTCATGACCATGTAGCAAACTCAAGGCCGGTCTGAGCTACAAGAGCTCCTGTCTCAAAAGACAAAAACAAAACAAAACACCTATCACCAAACCACAAAGAGCACAGTCCCTTCTCTGATCTCATCCTCTGAAGATACCAGGCCCAGGCTTCCTGCTCTGTCTGGGATCCACCTAGAGTTCATAAGTTGACCAGCCTTGCCCTTTCTGGACACAAAGCATCCCACTGCCTTTGGGATGTGTTCTGCTCTGCGCATGGCTGAGACCTTTACTGGCCTGGCCCTCTGAGGCTCCTCTGCCTCACCTCTTGCCTCTACTTCCACTAACTGAGCCACCCTAAGCTGTAGGAAGTGGATTTCTATTTCCCATTATCCTCCTTTATTTTTGTTGAAATAGGACCTTATTATGCCGACTAGGCTGGCCTTAAACTCAAAATCCTCCTGCCTCTGCCTTCTAAGTTACTGGAATTACAAATGTGGACCACCTTACATATTTAAACATCTTCTTAAAGCTTGTCCTCCTCTTGGGCCTGGCTACATCTTACTGGTTTCCCACTCTCTAGCTGGACCTCACTTCCTCTGGGACACTGCAGGCTGGCACCCCAGCTCTTCCCAGCTGTAAGCCTACCACCTCTGAGCTTCCTCAGCCCACTACCCTTTCTCACTACACATGCTTGACATGGTTTTGTGTTCAGCAGAACCCTCTTAGTAACTTTCTAGATTTAGTAACATAAAGGAAAGGACACACACACACACACACACATACACACACACACCAGTCCTAATACTCAGAATCTGCCACGAGGCAGGCACCTAGTTACACAAAAGATGGATGGTCCAGGGAGCAAAACACTAGAGGCAGCTTAATGGTGTTTCAAAGGATGACACCAATCATTAAATACAGCTCAGTTTAATGTTGTGGGGGAAATGTGTTTCTCAGCTTTACTAGAGAGAGGGAGGCAGCTACTGAATAATGCCTCTCAACAATGGCCACAATTTAGAATGACCTGGGAAATCTTTTAGACATACTGAAGCCTGCCTCCTATCCCCATGCCTACCCTCAGAAGCTCTGCTGTAATCAACCTGGGGCATTCCTGGACATGGAGACTTTGAAAAGCTTCCCAGGTGATCTGAAGATTCAATCAGGATTGATCACAGCAGCCAGGATGTGCTTATAATTCCAGCTGTTACAAGCCTGGCTAACCTTGTATGATCGTCTTAACAACTGAGGCCTTTCCTTACAATCTCACTAGGAACTGGAGATGTAGTGTTGGGATTAGACTCACACAACCCCAGAAGAAGCCGTGTTACCCCTAAAATGACAGCAACTATTCCTTGACAGATGTGGCTCAGGCTGAGACTACAGATGTAAGTTCTGTAGACGAGACGAAAGACTGGAACTGGGCCAGGGTCAATCAGCAAGGTGTTTGCTTATCTTGCAAGCAGCAGGACCTGAGTTTCACCACAGAACCCATGTGAGGAACCATGCTGACAAACTTAGCCCAGCATTCAAGGGGCTGAGATGGGAGATCCTGGGAGCTCACTGGCCAGCCAACCTAACCTACTTAGCAAGCTCTGAGCATGTCAGAGAGACTTTGTCTCTGAAGGAAAGGCAGACAGTGTTGGAGGAATCACACCTGAGACTGTCCTCTGGCCTCCACATGAACAAACCTGTATACACACATACACACACACACACACACCAAACAAACAACCATATTTGGGCAACTGGATTCATTCATAGTACAGGACTATATTCTTCCTAAGGAATTGGCTGCAAGACAAAAAAAGTCCACATGTATATGTGTACACATGTCTATACACACACACAGGCACATACATATGCACAGGTATGTATGCACATACATACTAACATATCTCATACATTTGGCAGTTGTTTAATTATCTCTTCAGTGTAACAATATGCAAAGCCTTGTAAATTTCATTAGTCACAGGGGTTTATTCAAACTGTCTCCTTTGCATAAGAAACCCAGGCTTACAGCTGGTCTCTGGGAAAGAAAGCCCTCCAGGCCTTGAAAGGAGAGCTTGGCCAGTCCAAACTCTCTCTGAAACACAGTGGAGGTCAGCGGCCCGTGATGCATGAGGCCAGGCTAAAAT